ATGATTAGGCCTTCTGATCTATTATGTTACCGATCAGAATGCTGCTGGTACTGAGAGAATTAAATGTTTCAGAGTCATACGCTTGAGTTGATTACACAAAACCTGGATTATTCTCTGGGGTCAAACAACTGCTGTTGTTGCTTAAGGCTTCACAGATTAATGATCGTTCTACATCTTGCAGAGTTACCTTTAAATTGAAGTCAAAAAGGAACTTAGAAATCATGATGACAGTCTGCACTAATTACTCTGTGTGGGTGCAAGTAGGTGCAAATATTTTGCTGCATATACATTCTGTGTGCCTGGCTAAAAACAGTTTTCTCATCAGCAAGTGCTGGTGAGAAAACGGGTAATGGGAGCCCAGTTGTAACTAGTAGGGTAACCTCAAGGAGAGAGCAACCCCTGTCGTAAACTCACCTGGCACTGAGTTTACAGACTACGGATTTTGCCCTTTCCCTTGCTTTCTTCCCTGAGCTCATCGCGGTGGCTGTGTGGCTCCCTGTGGCCAGAGGGAGAATCGCTTTTTCTGTGGTGAGCAACCCCCGGCGAAGATTTTATTTGCAGGGTCACTTTGACATAATTCTAGGAGGTGGCATTGTAACTTTTGACTGTTAAATGCTTCAGTCTTATCCATATAAAGCTTTGGAGCATGACTAACTAACATAATAATCACCTCTCGAAGAGAACACATTAACTCCTCGAACTCTCAAGATTAAAAGATCAAAGAGAAGGTTGGAAGATGCTGAAAAACTGAATTAGCAGCTTCTCAGTATGGCAGACAGTAAGGAACTTCATGCACTCATGTGTGCTAAGGGACGAGCACCATGCCCCAGAGACCCAGGCAAAGCTGCTGTCTTCTCTGGGATTACACCATGTAGGTACTTCTCTGAGGACAAAAGGGAATGAGCTTTGGAGAACTCTGGAGCCCTGTATTTATTCAAAGTAATATTCTGTGAATCAAATGATCTAATTAACTAAACATGCATTTGACCACAAAAAATGTTGTTATTTTTAGCTGACCTTGCAAACCAGCATCAGGGTTGCATCCTTTTCTCCCTGAAACTCTGCATCTATTTTCTAAAAAATTCCCCTGTTCTTTCTGATTTAAATCATCAGTAATCTGTGTGACTGCTCTTGAATTTTGATACTCAGAGCCTGTAATGTCTCTTCATCCTTTTTAATGATGAGATAAGCTGCTAACAGAAGTAATCAGGTTCTTTAAAATTGTACCTAAGAATGCAAGTACAAGTAAAGTTTTCTTTCGCTTTGCAAGTAGAAAAAGAGAGAGCAATTACAGATCAATATGACCCATAAAATTACATTCCAATTTGGATTTTTGTTACAGATTTCCAGTCTTCAAGCTAAGTTCAAGATGATACTGAAATCACCAAAATGGAAACAAATAAAATAGTCCCTGATTCTAAGTTTCGGCCTTTCCAAAACTGAATGAGGTCCTGTAGAAATCACATTTCACATTCAGAGAGAGAAGGTTACCGTGGATTTAGGTATCTGTCTGTCACATACCACAATAATTGTTACCATCCTAATTTTGCAGACTTAGGGACTGTGGACTGCCTGAGGTGTCAGCAGCCACTACTCTTAACTGTCTCTTTTATACTGTAGCCACTGACAATAAATTGCCCTACTGTGTAGCACCACTGCAACATTTTGTCCCACTCTCTCTTTCCGGAAGGATGGTAGTAATCTGGAAGAAAAAAATACACCAGTAAAGGCTGCACAGATGGTTCTGTAACAGCTGATAGGTAGCTGCAGTTGCTGATAAGTATTTTGGAGGTGACAGACAGCAAGGGCAATGAAGAACTACCAACAGCATTTAAAGGGACTCTGACAGGCCACAAAATAATCCTGATGAAATACTTAAAAATTTTTTCCAGCACTAAGACTTCTTAAATGGGAGTAAATTCCCCCAAAGACAGGGACATCTCTCTCTTTCTTTTTTCTTTCTTTTTTTTTTTTTTTAGTAGAAGTCTCCTAAGTATCTTGCACAAGCCTTGTAGGAAAGAGCTTGGGTTGTAACAGTAACCACAGCTCCAATCAAGTTGACTTTTGATGGAGTGCAGTCATCAGTACCAACTGCAGAAGGGGCTTACTTTGGAGGCTGTTTGACACAGCGGGTAGATCTGCAGGGAAAAGCCTTGGCAGGCATGAGGCCAAGGACATCAGCTAGTGACTCTGTTCATCCCCGGCTTGGAGACCAGAACTGTGGCTCACTAGCTGAGAATGGTGCCCAAGGCATCATGCCACGCACAGCCAGGGCTCTGGAGCCTGTGGCTACCTGGAGTCCTCTGGGAAGGTTGTTACACAATCATGGTTTGAGGCTGAAGACCTCACCTCTTTGCTGTGCTACCATGTTTAAAATCTCAGCCACGCCTCTCTCCCATTTTCTGCTGCAATGGATGTCAACAGAAGCAGGAGGGAGGCTGTGTGCCACCTGGACTTGCTAAACAGCCAGACTATCCCAAATTATTGGATGTTTGATTAGACAGTTGTCATGAAAGATCAAGAACCCCTTAGATCTTGGGTACATGTGAAAAAAAAAGGAATTTGTATAACTTAAACATGAGAACCTACAGCCCTATTAACAGCAGTTGGAGGGACATTCTCTTGGACTTGACATACCCAAGACTATGGCCTTCTGCATAATCCCAGCAGGTTGACAGGGTGATTGTCAGATTGAAGCGCATGAGGTTTCTAAACACAAGGGCATCCTTTAAGAACAAAAGGGGTATGGTTGTCCTACCTCTGGAAACCTGACATCCAGCAGAGGTTTTTAAGGCAGTTGGGCCTTTCAGCAGCAGAAGATATCTATACAGCCAGCATCTTTTACAAAGACATTTCACCAGCTTGGAGGCTTTCATGGTGGGCCTTGGGATCTTTCAGGTGGGTGAGTCATTCCATCAACTTTTGTCTGTCCCCAGATGAAATTCATTCCTCCCCAGAAAAAGTCTCTAAACTCTGAGACAACATTAAGGAGTGGGAGCAAAACACAGGCTAGCCACTTTTCCTGTTTCCCACTCATCCTTAGCAGTGGGTTTGGCACAACATGTTGTCAACTGGTATGGCAACCAGACATGATTCTGAGATAATACTCCCTCAAACATTAAGCAGTGAGGGACAAGAACAGATGTTGGTTTAGGATGCTGTCTTAGGATCTTGTCCTCACTTGAAATTCACAGTCATTCCTGATGCATTTAGCTTCTTTAGACAGCTCTGATCTTTTTATATGTGCTCTTGCTCTGTTAGAGGGTCCACTCCATCCACAGATAGTTGAAGCATAGGCATCTGCCATCTGTGGCTGAATTATAACCCTATTGGACATTTTTCTTAAGCACTCTGAGGTGCCTCTAATTTCTGTTGGTGTAGTCCAGATTTTCCAGGAAAGGCTGACAAAAGATATTTTTATTTGGATATAAAACTGCCCTGTGTTACAGTGACTTTTCCCCCCTGTGTTCTGTCACAGGGCTGAGGGAAAATAACTGAACTGAATAGGTAATCCCCTGGAAAGTGATATCAGTCCTGAGTAGAGATCTTTCATGCAGCAGGTTCTTCCTCTGGTCACGGATATTTCCAGGTAGCTTTTGACATTTTCTGTTGTTGGATTTGCCAAGTGCCAAAATAAGCCCCCTCTGAACATGACAGGAACAGCTTCACTGACCTGGAAAATCACGATCTGTTTCTTCTCTTCCCCTTGGAAGATTAGCCGTGAACTTCCCATGCTGCCACCAGCAGCCAAGTCTCACTGTTTGGCAAGTTGTGGTAGGTAACATGAATCATAGTGCTGAGCCTGCTTAATGCCTGTGGCTATATAGAAACTGCAGAAGTTCTCCAGTCTGTGATCCCAGGGGTCTTTAGTTTTCTCACTGAAGCATTCTGAGCCTGATTTCCCTGTCCTAGCCTCATACCTCGTCTCTGCAGTGAGCTTAATGTATATCTTGGCAACACATCAGTATCCTCTGAGAGGATAAATCAGGCTGTTGCTACAGGATGGCATTCAGGATCATGGGTGAAGAATAGAAAAGTCAACTACACTGTGAGTATTGGAGAATCCTACATTAAAGGGCTGTGCTACTCTTAAGAAACAGCCCAACTGATTCCCACTAAAGGCAAACAAATTTTTGGTTGTATAAGATACATACATACATGTATCTACACACAGAGGTAGATAGGTAGATAGATTGATATGTATAGATACACTTTTTTTTGAAGTGTATCTTCTCAAGATATTTCTATATAAACAAAGTCTGATGCAAAGGACAGGATGTTTCTTCGATTTTTTAGTCCTTCATGTAAAAACTTGACGTGCTGTTGAATTTATTTTATGCGAGTTTATGTTTTCCTCTTTTAAATGGTTTGTAATGCAAAACCATGAAGGTACAGCTGCTGCAACAAACTCCCTTATTGAAGCTTGCCTTGCTGCACACATTGCTTTTGGGTTCTCACTTGGCTTTGAATGCAAACATTACAAAAGATGAAAACTATCATGGTCTTAAGCACTATAATTAATGCTGCTAATTTTTGTTCCTTTGCTGGACATTGTCCACAGGTGTGTTTTGCAGAATTTCTTCAATGAACATGTTCCTTGTTTTCCTCACAAAGCAATAGAGGAAAAGCAGTGAGAAATGTTACCCTCTGGTACTTTTTAGAGTCTTTCTGTGTAATAAACCAGTATTTTATATGGTTTTGTTAATCTTATGTATGAGTTTTGACATTAAAGTCAGTAACCAGAACAGTAGAAAAAAAATGGTGTCATCTGTGTACAACAATCCTGGGTAAATTTAAAATTTCTGGGCATGGACCAAATGAGCGAAAGTGAGGAAAAAACCCCAATGTGCATAAAGACATGTAAGCACAAATGCAATTGAATATTAAAAAACTCAAACTACTTATGTGGAGAAAATGAGCTAATATAAAACACATCTCAGTCACTCCAATATTTATAATTCCTCTAGTTGTCATGTAAAAGCATTCTTAAGATATCTTACCTTGTTAATATTAAGTACTCAATTCCTCCTTTTTGCTAGACGACTTGGGCACATTTCTGAGAACCTGAAATATGATTTTACATGTCTTTCATCTCTTTGAACAGAAACCTCAAGATTTTTATCAGCTATTTTTCTAATTATTTTTATAAAGAACATATATTTTTCATTATTTATCATCTGTCTGGTTTTATTTTCAATACTTTTCCTATTGAGCTTCTTTAAGGCTTCTGAACCTATGCAATCTCCTCTGATGGGAAAGAAAAAAAAATAGCTGCCAGAAACATAACTGAATTTGCTGCACTACTTTACTATACTTTTTTGCTATCTATCTGTATAAGTACACTGTGTTGGGCTCCCACAGCAAAGTGTTAGCCATTTATTTTTACCAATTTCCATGTGCCAGAAAAAAAAAATCTTCAGAGAAATATCAAATTACCTACCATATTATTTATCTTCAGCCTTTAATATTTTGTCAGATAACTAGGCCCTGGAATAAGGAAAGGGTACTCCTTACAGCACAAAGGAGAGATGTCACCAAAACTGACAAACTTTGGTGGAGAACTACAGAACAATTTTTTTTTTGTTTGTTTAAGTTTTGGGAAATTATATGGGCCATTTGATGTAAAAAACAAAAGCAGAATAAAATATTAGAAGCAATATTATAAGTAGGCTATTGAAAACTATTTGGTGGGTTTCAAAGACCTGAAGTCAGTACATGCATTTTCAAGACTACAAGTCTGAGAGTTGCTCCTGAACTAGAGACCAGAGTTGAAAATACAATACCCAACAAAAGAGGCCTCCATTTAAAATTCAGTGTATATTTTTTGAATAATTGGCATCTGGGTTCACTTATATGGCCATATGTAAGAGAAAAAAAATGCTATAACTCTTATAAGTGTGAAAATCAGACAGAAAGAAAATGGAGTGCCTGTTGAAAATTTTAATGGCCACTTTTAGAAATGCATTTTTCTCAAAATTAGCCAGCTCTTAAAAATAAATATAATAACAATTAAAACTACTCTGCTGCTGGTTTTTAAAGCATGACATTTTGACATTTCTGTGATTCAAACCAACCTTTCTAAAGAAACTTTCAAGATAGTCCCTAGACAAAATACAGTATTGAAAACCTACCCTATTTCTTCTGAAATATAAATAGAAGGGCTCCCATTGATAACAGTGGGAATGCATGATGACCTTTTGCTAATTTGAAAGTACAGAAGTTTGAAACTGAGATATCTGAAACCAGAAATTAAGCTTAGAGCTGAATAATACATACTGTACTGCTTGTCCTTTTTATTGTATAATGCCATAATTTATTTACTATGCTAATGGGGTGTGTGAGGATTTTCTTTTAAGATAATTGAAACCGGTGATGGAAATGAACCCTTTGGATCACCCTGTTCCTCATTAACAACAAAACTAAAATGTCTTTACACTGTATAATTCATTTGCTCATTTTTTCCTGTAATGAACAGACATTATCTACAGATAGAAAGTTATAGGATTTTTATAATGGACAGCAGGAGCTTTTGCGCCTCCTGATGATGAAAGGTTTAGATTTTTCTAAAGACTAGTAGAAGAATATTGCATAAATATTCAGTAATACCATGACAACTACTCCCCTCAAACCTATTTCAAAGCCTGAAATAAAATTGGGAAATAATTGAGGCTGTATGGAGATGCACTATGAGGAACTACTCTGTCCTGTTGCTGAACTTCTAGGTCAACAAATACAACTGTTCCCTTTTGCATCTCATTCAGGAAAGGTGTCCCTGCACACGACAGGGGATTTGGAACTAGATGATCTTAAAAAGTGCCTTCCAGCCCAGGCCATTCTATGATTCTATAATTATACAAGTGTGTTACAATTCTTTGCTGAAGAACTAGGAGCTCTTGTTTCAGTCACAGCCACTTCCACATGGAGAGAGATTAAATTGAATCCAGAACTGCACCCTGGCATCACTCCAGAATTACCATAAATGATGCTAGAAAATACACTACATGCTTCTTAAAATTTCTATAATATTATTAGTATATTGAGATGTTATTCAGTACCATTTAATGTAACCATAGTATTTACTGGCTCAATGTAAGGATATGAACCCACATATTCTTGTTTTCAAATTTTGCATTTTAAGCCATTACATTATTGGGCTTATTTTCAACAGGAGGTTTGGATACGGTATAACACAGGTGTTCATATGTGGTGTGACAGTATAGCTGCCATAAGTTTTGGAGTTTTTAATGAATGATTTCTTGAAGAATCATGAGGAATTTTCATCACAGTTTTAAAGGACAGTTCTCACAGAACATGCTGAGTTGGAAGGGACCCACAAGGATCATTAAGTCCAACCCTTAGCCCTGCACAGGACCATCCCCAAGAGTCACTCCACACACCTGACAGTATTGTCCAAACACTTCTTGAACTCTGTCAGGCTTCGTGCTGTGACCACTTCCTTTGGGAGGCTAATCCATTGCCCAACCACCCTCTGGGTGAAGAACTCTTCTCTGATATCCACCCTAAACCTTCCCTGACACAACTTCAGGCCATTCCCTCAGGTCCTCTCACTGGTCACAACAGAGAAAAGATCAGTGCCTGCCCCTCCTCTTCTCCTCACAAGGCAGTTGTGACTGCAATAAGTACAGAAGAGATTGATATTTTAAATAGTTCGAGGGTTTTTTAGCACTTCTCAGTATTAAAAAAACTCTGCTAAGATCTTCCAATGTTCTGTTGCTATCTGTTCAATAGAAGTAAGTTTTTCAGGAAATGTTACTTTTAATGGAAAAAAGTGTATTTTCCTGAGGAGCTATGAGGATGTGAGTAATTTATTCATACCTTCAGGCCTGGTGGTTTATCTGATCAGGAAGAAGGGAAGGAAAGGGGAAAAAAGGGAAAAAAAGGGGAGAGAGAAAGGGGAAAAAGGGAAAAAGAGAAAAAAAGGAAAAAAGAAAGAAAAAAGGAAGAAAAAGGAAAGAGGAGAAAGAAAAGGGGGGGGAAAGGGAAAAAGAGGAAAGAAGGGGAAAAAAGGGGGGAAGAAAAAAAAGAAAAAATGGGGAAAAAAGAAAGCAAAAAAGCAAAAGAGAGAAAGAGGAAAGAGAAAAGAGAAAAAAAGACAGAAAGAGAGGGAAAAAAAAGAGAAAAGGAGAAAAAAGAGAAAAAAACAGGAAAAAAGGAGAAAACAACAGAAAAAAAAAGAGAAAAAACAGAAAAAAAGAGAAAAAGGAGAAAAAACATAAAAAAGGAAAAAGAAAAAAGAAAAAAAGGAAAAAGGAAAAAAAGGAAAAAGAAAAAAGGAAAAAGGAAAAAAAAGGGAAAAAAGGAAAAAGGAAAAAAGAAAAAAGGGGAAAAAAGGAAAAAGGAGAAAAAGGAAAAAGGAAAAAGGAAACAAAAGGAAAAAGGAAACAAGAAAAAAGAAAAAGGAAAAGAAAAAGAATAAAGAAAAAAGAAAAAAGAAAAAAGAATAAAGAAAAAAGAAAAAGGAAAAAGGAAAAAGGAAAAAGGAAAAAGGA